CGCTGCTTCGCCTCTTTTACCGCCCTCCGCACGTTATATGACGCGGCTTTGTACGGGTCCATGTCCCCGTCGTGAGTCCCGTGTTGTAGGCAGCGGTGCGGGATCTCAGAGCGTCGCGGATGGTTTTATCCACCCACGGCTTCTGGTTGGGAAACGTTGTGATAGTCTTTGTCTCCACGGTATCGTCCGCTAGTTTCCCGATGAATCCCACAACCGCTTCCGTAAACACGTTGACGTCATCATCGGAGCTGTTTCTGAACATGGCCCAGTCTGCGTCATCGAGTGCGTCCTGTAACGCGGCCACTGATTGATCCGTCCAGCGCGCGACCTTCCTCTGAACCGGAACTTCCTGTTTCAGCCTTTGTTTGTATTTTGGCATGAGGAAGATGGCGGCGTGATCAGATTTGCCAAACGGAGGCGGGATTGTGCCTTGTAGCCGTCCTTGACCGTAGTGTAGCAGTGGTCCAGTGTCCTTTCACCTCTGGTGGGGCAGGTGATGTGTTGATAAAAGTTCGGCGCTGCGCGTTTGAGGTTGGCGCTATTACAGTCCCCCGTCACAATAAGCGCAGCGTCCCGGTGTTGTGTCTGGTGCTGTGTGAGTGCCTCATGCAGCTCGCATAAGGCGGTGACCGTGTCCGCTTGTGGTGGAATATAAACGGCACTTATAATGACCGATGTAAATTCCCGAGGTAGATAAAAAGGACGACACATGATGGACAGTAGTTCCAGATTTGGTGTGCAGGAGCGTGTGAGAGGAACAACGTTCGCACTGTTGCACCAGTTGTTGTTCACCATTAAAAACACGCCGCCTCCCCTTGACTTCCCCGAGTCCCGTGTCCTGTCCATGCGGTGAACCGAGAAGAACTCGGCCGGCTGGATGGCGTGGTCCGGCACCGCTGGGTTCAGCCATGTCTCGGTGAAGCAGAGGAGATTGCAGTCCCGAATGTCTCTCTGGAACTTTATGCTGGCCCTGAGGTCGTCAAGCTTGTTCTCCAGTGACTGGACATTGGCGAGCAGGATGCTAGGCACAGGTGTGCGGTGTGCACGAGCTCTCAGCCTGTTCCTGACGCCGGCTCGCTTCCCTCTAGGCCGCCGCTTCCCTTTGTTCTCCCTCAAGATCTCACTCGGCCAGCTCGGATCTGGAGTTAAAAACTTCGAATTGTGAGTACATTGTATACCAGCTGATGAAGGATGTAACAATTTGTTCTTATTTTAAAAGCACCTGTTTACAAGGAAGTGGTGAAAGTGAACCTGATAAACTCCGGTCTGGATCTGACCCACCCTGATGTGATGGAAGCCACGCTGAACCAGGCAAGTCATGTTTATTTATTAATATACATGAGAGAGAGATTATACATGCACACATACATCTGTGTATGTGTGCATGTATTTAAAAATTGAAGCTCTCACTGAATTGCAGCTTTATCACAACACTGAATGTGGACCTAACAATCTGGCTGGATTCAGTTGCACGACTGTGTGAACATCTCAAGACTCTCACTACTTCTGGGTCTGTCCTCGTGATGTGTCACTGAAACTGCCAGTCGACTGTATCTGCTTCACAACAATATAGAAACAAGAATTTTTCTCAAATCAAACTTAAAGCAGAGTATTACTTCTACTTGATCACTAAACAAGTGCTTTATTACAGCATATAAATACATTTTTCTTCAATATTCAAAACACTGACTATTAGAGATGATTTCATCTGTGTATTAAAGTTGTCTACACAAAATGTTTTGTCATGCTTGTTTGCACAGACACCTCCTTCAGCTCATGTACCTTAGGCTGAGTCAGATAAATTTAAATATCTTCTCTTAAAAATAGATTCTGAAGAATTTAGTGTATATTATTGTCTGAGTAATGTTAAGTATTTGTGTGTGTCAGATCCAACAGAAGCTGAAGGAGCAGGGAGTACAGGGAGACGTCAAACTGAGCTGGAGGAAGCAGTCAGATGGATCGGTCTTCCACAAGGACGAGGAAACGAAGAAGAAGAGCATCGTGTGAAAATAATTCAAGAAATGTTGCTTTCGCCTTTGACCTTTCAAGTGCTATTGTGCCATATTATCATATTATTCTATGCTTTGTGTGAATATCATCATCCAAACAAAACAAAAATCTAATTATGATGTCTTTGCATAGTTTTACATAGTTTTATTCTTACCTGTTAACATTTAAAACACAAGACGTTTGCTGGGTATTTGGTGACAGTTCACTGTAATTTTAATACATGCGGTTTTTTGCTTGCCTTGATCATGATGTATTTTAGTCTATTGAAACCATTTCAAAGGGTGCAGTAGCTGGCATGTGACACATGGGGGCCCTACGCTGAAATGTAGGTCTTTTCTGAATATTACATTTGCACACGTGTGATGAAGAACTCAATATCTTTTTTTTCCCCCTTTTTTTCCCCTTTTTTTTTGCCTGTCCCGTTTGGCTCTTTCGCATCAGAATTATTGTCTAAAGGTGAAGAAAGATGCCCAACGGATTTACTTTACCAAATTGACCATCCCAGCCTTGCCGTAATGGTCCATTTGATTCACCCTTTATTGTTTATTTTATTTTCACTTGCTGAATACGGGACAGACTTGACTGGGGGAAGGTGCGTACACCTGTGAGCATGGACGCGCTTGTTTTTTTAAAAGGTTCCTTCATGTAATGATCTGCTAGAGGGTGTGGGGGGCCACAGCCCCGTCCTCCAGGGCATGAAGCAGGTATGCAGGAGATCAAAACTCCAGACATCCAGAGGCCCCCAGAACACAAGAGACCAAGGAAGACCAACAGAGGGGCAGCCGCGCCACTGTCCCAGAAAGAGCTGAGGAGAGTCCCAGATGAGGGCTCACTCAGCAGCTGCAGAGCAGAAGCCAGGGGGGGTTGCAGTGACGCGCCCGTGAGCTCTGCCGGCAGCCAGCCGTGCCTGAGTGACCGAGCCCCAGGCCGAGAGGCCGGGGGCACCCCACCCCCGAAGTGGCCCGAGCGAGCCCCAGGCTCCAGGCCCCGATAAGCGGCCGCCAAGGAGTGAGCCGGTGTGTACCTGGACGCCCATCCCCGGACACAAAGAACCACCAACGCACCGACGTCTGAGGGCGTCTGTCACCGGCAGGGGAAGTGGTACTCTAATTTTCGTTTTTCCTGCAGTGTATAATAATTGGTGTATTTCAAAAGTAAAACTATGAAGTGGTGGGAAACTATTTTGTGCAACTTTTTTGTATTTACAGTTTTGAGGGATAAGCCTCTTAAATTTCTCTAACTAGAAATATATGTTAAAAAAAAACGATTTATTTATTTATTTATTTATCTATGCACTTAATGCAGACATATTATTAAAATTTAGGCTATAATGGTTGTATTGATTTATAGCAACTTGAAATGCTCCCAAAAATGGCTCCACAGCAGGTAAAAATATAATATAAGCTCTGATGGACTTGGTTCTATGGTAGGTCTTAAAGGGTTAAAGAGTTGAAGCTCGGTCAGTTAATTGATGGTCAGAAGCTTCATCCGGCGCGATGTCCGGCCGATCTATTGAGCAAAGTGGCCTAGAGCTATGGAAGGATTGCATACATGCTTACAATACATATATCACATATAATCTAGAAACAGGCCTGAATAAAGGCCTGAGGGTATTCAAGCAACCTGCTGCGTTTGAGTTTGCTTGGTAACAGATGACTCAGAATAAGTCAGGAAGTGTACTTCTGAAATGTCTTTGTTTCCTCTGTAAAGTATGCATTTTTTCTGGTTATTTTGAGGAGCTGTCTGGATGAGGCTATTTGAATAACCAGGTTATTCATTATTATCTTTTATTCTTTTATATTCTTTTTATTAAGCTTTGAGTAGTGGAATTTAATTAAAGCATTTATTCAATATATACATGTATAGTTTTAGTTAGATGGTTACACATATGAGAGTGGCCTCTGTCTGGTTGGGAGCTTTAGTAGGCGAGGTGAGAGGTGAAACAAAGTGCCTGCAGAATTGACAGTTTTGTTGCAGAGCATGCATCTGAGGTTTTGGAGAAGCAAGAGCGAGATGAGCTGGAAGCACCTGGCTTGGAGGTGAAGAAAATGTTCTTCTCAAACTGTGTCAAAAGTCGTTACCAGAACATTTGTGGTTTTGGAAGTTATGCATGTATTGTGTCTGCTTTGACGCATGAGGGGGCGCCATCAATAATACCCTGATGCTATAAAAACAACTGCTTGTGTATTATTGGGTGGAGATCGACGCTGAGTGTGTGACCGTTCATCTCCCCACACGTGATTTTGAATCCCTCCTGTATCCCTCCTCGATATTTGAACCCTTAACACAGTTTTGAGCCGGCCCATCTCATGATATTCGTGCTTGTGTGATTTGAAGGCTTTACCTTTTTCATGAAGTGGTATAAAGTGTATATAAATATCTGTGAATCTTATTACTTCTGTTCCATCCATGTTTTTCTAGATGGGGTGTAAGTAGGTTTCCTTTAAAATGGTAAAAAATGGTAAATGGCCTGTATTTGTATAGCACTTTACTAGTCCCTAAGGACCCCAAAGCGCTTTACATATCCAGTCATCCACCCATTCACGCACACATTCACACACTGGTGATGGCAGCTACATTGTAGCCACAGCCACCCTGGGGCGCACTGACAGAGGCAAGGCTGCCGGACACTGGCGCCACCAGGCCCTCTGACCACCACCAGTAGGCAACGGGTGAAGTGTCTTGCCCAAGGACACAACGACCAAGACTGTCCGAGCCGGGGCTCGAACCGGCAACCTTCCGATTACAAGGTGAACTCCCAACTCTTGAGCCACGATCGCCCCTTTATGTCCTAATTAGCTAGGACGCCCTCATGCAAATGATTGACTTTAAGGAAAACTGATTTGACTTGTTTTGAATTGACTTCTGCACACACACATGCATCCATCGCCTCCTTGGAAGTAACTTGCATAATCCTTTTGCATGAGGATGAAGATGAGAAGTCATGTCACAACAGTCGGACCAAAGGAGAAAGCAGGGAACATACAAGAATGGAAAAAGCTCTGTTCATCATAGCGGCATCAGGCAAGTCTGAATTATTACGTTTCCATCATCATATTTAAGTGTGATCCTTGTGATGAAGATTATTACTGTAACTCTAAGGGACTTCAACTTTCATTGTTTTTCTTCACAGAAATGAAAAAGATGATGCATTAGTGCGTTATATTTACTCCTGACACAAATTTTCTGCCAAGAGAATAGATTACACAGAAATGCATTGAAGCTAAACTCATTTATTTACTGTGTTTGCAGGCCTGTGTGCCATCGCCTCCAAACATCACTACCAGTTTGTTTATGAACAGAAGAACTGGACTGAAGCGCTGAGTTACTGCAGAGACAAATACATAGACCTGGCTACTATAGACGACATGCAGGATGTGCAGATGCTGACCAGCACAGTAGATTTAAGCAAAATGACCACCATGACATACGGCAATGTAAATTATTTTTCTGGCTTTTTTTGTGACAGTAGGACTTTAGGTTTTTGTACATTATTTAAATTTTATGGTACTGAACTATATTTAAACTATATTTTCTTGAAAGATCACTTTTCTTTTCTCACTGTTGCCAAGTGCTCACATGGGGTCATCTGATCGTTGACTTTACAGTATAATAAAGCAGATTGAGGCAACAGTTGTTGTGATTTGCTTTTATAAAAATAAAACTGAATTATTATGAACCATTTTGAATTGAATTGAATAAGGTTAGCGTTAGGATCTTGTGAACTTACAAATATTTGAATATAATTTTTGTCAAGTGGAAATCTTTTTGACAGAAAATTGTGATGCAAAAATCTACAAATTAATTGAGATTTTCTTAATTTGTATTAATCTTTATAAATAAAAATGGAAAAAATTAAAGAACTAAATTACAAAATATCACAAGATATGAAATGTTTTATACTGTATATATCAGTGCTTACTGATAATCTGACAGCCTAACTCATATATTTTATGTCTAATGAAACAAACCCACTGGTGCTTTCAGAGAGCCTGGATCGGGCTGTATGATGACATCGTTGGCTGGCAGTGGTCAACGTCAGAAACCAGTGAGTTCAGAAACTGGTCACCTGAACAACCAGATAACCAATGGGTTATAGAATACTGCGTATTTATGCTTGATGGACCGTGGTTTTATGACCCTTGTACGAATGTGTTCAGATTCGTCTGCTCTAATAACACAGGTGAGGATTTTCAACTTAACTAAAAGCTTAGAACAAAACAGGTCCTGTTCTGTGCTTTTATTGATGTTTCAACAACGGCCTAATTGTTTAGACTTACAAATGCATTTACAGTTGTACACAGCACTTGAGTATGGTCTGTTTTCAGGGTCGACTAGGACATTTGTCTTCATTGACATTATAGCGTCATGGGCGAACGCCCAGAGCTACTGCAGACTTCATTACACCGACCTGGCCAGTGTGAGGAACATGACAGAGAACCAGGAGATAGATGACCTGGTACCTCCAGGGATAAGGGTGTGGATCGGCCTTTTCACAGAGTCCTGGAAGTGGATGGATGGAAGTAACTCCTCATTTACATATTGGCAAACAAATGAACCCAATGGACCAGAGCCTTGCGTGGCAGCAAACTTTGAAGAAAATGCAAAATGGGAGGACTGGGCCTGTGGCTCACAGAAGGAGTTTGTTTGCAATGTTGGTAAGCATTACTACCTGAATCATTGGCTGCTATTGGTCACAATTTACAAACTACACCCTAATGTAAAAGGTTCTTGCTGTACATCCGCTGTTGTGGTGGCAGCTGCTCAATATGTGAAAGTAACTGTATGTGAGAAAACAGTCCTGTACAGTGAGCTCCTAGCTGCTGGCTTCACATTTTGTCACCCAGAAACCTCAAGTGGTCACACAGTTTATTCTGCCAGACCCACATTCACTGTTGTGATGGAAGCTGCATCAATCGTTGTGTTCAGTTCAGAGGTTTGAAGTGAACACTGTAAAATTATTGTGAATATTAGTATGACAGGATGGGTCATAACAAATGGGCCATTTCTGTTTTCTGGTTGTCGCTTATATATAAAATTAAAACAGCAAACACACACCAGGAAGGTTAATCTGAGATTTTGGCACTCATAAGTGTTTAATTGCAAGTAAATTATGTATTTAAAAGCAGAATATGAAAATGCAAGTGAAAGATAGAGCTGATGAAGGATGTAACAATTTGTTCTTATTTTAAAAGCACCTGTTTACAAGGAAGCGGTGAAAGTGAACCTGATAAACTCCGGTCTGGATCTGACCCACCCTGATGTGATGGAAGCCACGCTGAACCAGGCAAGTCATGTTTATTTATTAATATACATGAGAGAGAGATTATACATGCACACATACATCTGTGTATGTGTGCATGTATTTAAAAATTGAAGCTCTCACTGAATTGCAGCTTTATCACAACACTGAATGTGGACCTAACAATCTGGCTGGATTCAGTTGCACGACTGTGTGAACAACTTAAGACTCTCACTACTTCTGGGTCTGTCCTCGTGATGTGTCACTGAAACTGCCAGTCGACTGTATCTGCTTCACAACAATATAGAAACAAGAATTTTCTCAAATCAAACTTAAAGCAGAGTATTACTTCTACTTGATCACTAAACAAGTGCTTTATTACAGCATATAAATACATTTTTCTTCAATATTCAAAACACTGACTATTAGAGATGATTTCATCTGTGTATTAAAGTTGTCTACAAAAATGTTTTGTCATGCTTGTTTGCACAGACACCTCCTTCAGCTCATGTACCTTAGGCTGAGTCAGGTTTTGAGTTCTCAGTTATATGTAAGAGCCATGAGTGTCAGTCTGTTTCATCCTGGCAGATGAAGCTGTGGGGAGCAATCCTTCGAGTACTGTGAAAATCATCAGCCCACAGTGTTCAAGCCAAATGCCTCAGCTTAGGACCATGATCCGTTTGGCCTCTGGTTTGTAGCTTGTTGTAGTCCTGGTTATGAAAATGAGGTTCGATTTAATCCACGAGTGCTTGCTCTGTGCACAAGTTTAAGATCCACTGAAGATATAAAAGTACACGTGGTCAGTACGACGCTTGCAAGAGCGATCAAAAATAGTAACCAGAGTCTGAAAAGCACAAGGTGTTCAAATAGTCCTCCTTTAAGAGTAGCTGCGCCACATTTACACCTGGGATTGTTTTATTTTTATCACACATTATATAACTTTTTATATATTTCATTTCCAATATTTGGACCAATCTCATGTGCTTTGTAGTTTTATTAGACATTATTATTAGTCATCAACTCTCTTGTGAAATATTACTGCAAATTTAAATATCTTCTCTTAAAAATAGATTCTGAAGAATTTAGTGTATATTATTGTCTGAGTAATGTTAAGTATTTGTGTGTGTCAGATCCACAGAAGCTGAAGGAGCAGGAGTACAGGGAGACGTCAAACTGAGCTGGAGGAAGCAGTCAGATGGATCGGTCTTCCACAGGACGAGGAAACGAAGAAGAAGAGCATCGTGTGAAATAGTTCAAGAAATGTTGCTTTCGCCTTTGACCTTTCAAGTGCTATTGTGCCATATTATCATATTATTCTATGCTTTGTGTGAATATCATCATCCAAACAAAACAAAATCTAATTATGATGTCTTTGCATAGTTTTACATAGTTTTATTCTTACCTGTTAACATTTAAAAACCAAGACGTTTGCTGGGTATTTGGTGACAGTTCACTGTAATTTTAATACATGCGGTTTTTCGCTGTTGCACTTGTTAGACTATAATATATTTATGCCATGTTATACCCCTAATTAAAGATTGTGAATTATTATGTAGTTTTAGTTTGCATATTCTCCTGATTAGAAGAAGCTGATAACTATTGCATCTGTTAAACTGATTTGCATTACATTAGACTGCTGATTTATGTGGATGAATGATATTGTTTTATGATGCATTATACTGCTGAGTTATAAGAAATACTGTTTGCAGAAAGTCATCGCCTTATTTGTCTGATTAGAAGAGAACAGAATATGCTGGAGTTTTCTGCCCCATCTCAGCAGGAGCAGATAAACGGGGAGCCAAGGTCGTAGCTTAGGCGCCGTGTGAGAGAAAGCATGTGAATGTTTAGGCTTTTATGATAAGGTGGAGGCACCAGAGGCTATAAGAGTTTGATCAATGCTCCACCATTTGGAGATCTGAGGCTGTCTGCATACAGTGTCCATCTCCCACGCGTGTGACTATTAAAATCATCGTTTGACTCAACCCGGCCGGACCAGTGTTGTTATTGTGGTTTTTTCTCTTGTCTCCATCCCCAATTTTGAAATCGTAACACACTTTACAGACAGCCACTGAGTGTTTGATGCAGTAGAAGCAGAATTAGAGCTGATTGAGGCTGTAAAGGTGGCGCATTCTTCACAAAAGGTCAGCCACGCACGG